GAGAAAGAAACAGGAGATCTGGAAAGGTTATAATTTCCTAAGGGTTGCATGCTCTAAGCAGGTGTTTACATCTAACCTGCTCTCATTGGCTTTCTGTAGATTCTTTACTTTTAAAGTTAATTTATTTAAAAATTTTTAATGTTTACTTATTTTTGAGAGAGAGGCAGGGTATAAGCATGAGAGGGCAGAGAGAGAGGGAGACACAGAATCTGAAGCAGGCTCCAGGCTCTGAGCTGTCAGCACAGATTCCGATGCAGGGCTCGAACCCACAAATCGCGAGATCATGACCTCAGCGAAAGTCGGACGCTTAACCGATTAAGCCACCCAGGTGCCCCGAAAATCATCACCTTATTAAAATTGAGATTATCTCCATAATTCTATGGATCAATAACTCCTCTCCTAAAATGAAACCATCTAGACAACCTAATTTTCAATGGTATGTGACATGCCTTTTCTGTCATAAACGTAAGCAAAGAGGAGAGGACTTACCCTGACAGGAAACCACATGTAGGAAGCCTCCTCCGGATACATGAACATCCCATATTCTGGATGGGTCATCTCCTCAAACAGACAGTGGAAAAACTCTACCTTGACTCCTCCAGAGTCAAGCCACCCAGGTGCACCAGTATTTATCTGGCTTTATATATCTATAAAAAGTTTACTAAGTAGAATAAAATGGCAAAATGCCAGCCTTTTTATAACTGAGTGATAAAGTTCAAGGAAAGAAGACAGCAAATCTCAAAGGAGTAGGGGAAGGAAATGACATTTTGTTTTGGCTATGTTATTTAATCCACACAATTTTGCAAAGTGTGTGCTTTTGTCCTCAATTTACAGATGAATGTGCCGAGTCTCAAAAAGACTAAATGACTTGGACAAGGAATTTGGCTTTAAAGCTGAAATTTGAACCCAGGTTTCCTCGGTTCTAAGCCTAGGTATTTACCACTATATCCCTTTGAACATCCAATTTATATGTCTCAAGTATCTACCACTGAAAAAAATTGACTGGAAAAGAGTGTGCATTAATATGCAAAACTCCCAAGAGTGAAGACATGTGTGGAAGTGCCCAGCAGAATATCTGGCACATAGCTATTATTCTTTGTGTTGACTTTGGGCAAAAAAGAACATAGATAACAGGCAAATACTTTCTAGCTCTTTAAGAAATCTTACCTTACTTCTAAACACCTGTAACATCTTTGACAATGACTTTCTCCTTAGTTTTTTTTTTAATGGTAGGCCAAGGCCCTCTGCTGTTTGATTGAGAGGTGTCAAGTGGGAATAAAAAAAAAAAGATGTAGGAAAATAATCATCCTTGAAATGCCAATACTCCTACCAGAAATCTTTCAAGCACTTTCAGTTTCCATCCTGACAATCTGAATTTCAACATGTTAGTCCTCTATGATATATTTAGAAAAAACCGGCTGTGGAACATTAGGATAGTTCTAAGGGCCTAAAGATTTTAGAACTCTGTAAATTAGCTGACTGGTAGTCTAGGGTGGTGTTGAGGAAAATTAAACAATGTTGGTATTCATGAGTTCATTAAGTATGGGTGGTAGACTGAGGTGATCCGATGTGGTTTACAAAGAAAGACTCTTCACAGGAAACAAGAAGTATTTTGAGTTCACAATCAATCCAGTGAAGCCAGATTAAGCTATTAAGGTTGCTCTTGTGTTTAGACTCAGCATTACAGATGTTACAGATGTGAATTGGTGAGAACAGTTGGCTGGAAATGTCACCTAAGGAGACAAGTGCCTGGTTAGTGAAACAGAAACAACTACAGGCATAAGACAAACTATCTCAGCCCCCTGAGGACCTTTGCGTGATATAACTTTTCCACAAGTAGTATTTATATCTTTGGAAACGCGTGAGGTTTAACTTTTAATGGCAGCTCTATTTTAGACCAAAATAGTGTGTACTTATACACACAGAGTAGTTGGAAAGTTTTTTTTTAATTCTAAAATTTTTTTGAGTTTATTTTTTTTTTTGAGAGAGAGAAAGAGAGCAAGCGAGCAGGGGAAGGACAGAGAAAGAGAGAGAGAGAGAGAGAGGGAGAGGGAGGGAGGGAGAGGGAGAGGGAGAGGGAGAGTCCCAAGCAGGGTAGAGCTCCTCAATGTCAGGGTAGAGCACAATATGGGGCTTGAACTCATGAACAGTGAGTTCATGACCTAAGTTGAAATCAAGATTCAGATGCTTACCAAACCGAGCCACCCAGGCATTCCATAATTGGAAAGTTTCAAACAATCACTCTTTACAGTATATAGAAAATTTACTAAATTATTCTTGAGAGTTGGGGTTCATAAATCTTATACCTCTCCCACTCTACAGTTTCTTGATGAAGACAGATTCAAGGAGGCACAAAGGAATCCAATTATAGTGTTAGTTTTATAATGATTAAGCTAGATTGGGGGACATGGCTGGACTTCAATCTTCTTCTAAGAATATAGACGGCAGGATCTCAACTTATTTACCCAGGAGTAGGCAGAGAGGCTGAAACAGCATACATCTGGATGGCCCTGTGCAAAAGGCAGCTAAGCCTAGCTGTGAGCTAATATAAGCTTGAACATAGATGCTCTATGCCACCATGAGAGATGGTGCGCCCTATACCTCCACACCCTCCTGTATTTCCATAAATGTCAAGCTCTTACCACTTTCACCAAGCCAAGAGCAAAAGTACATGTGCGCGTGTGCACACATACACTGCCATCAAGAGCAGGGAAAAAAAATCACTGCTTCTCATCTACAAGTATGGTTGACTCTCTGGGAATCCTATTTTAATTAAAGGAAAAAAACCCCTTTCATTGTAAATACTTTCAGCTTCACTGCAGATTTCTAGCAGAAGTGTGTCACACTGAAAATCAATTGATTCTAAATGTCCAGGGCTAAAAGAACACTTTTGATAGCAGTGCAAAAGAAATAACAACAAAAAAACCCAAAGTAAATTTGAATCTATATTGTTTATTATGGAAAATGCAAAAAAATCATACTTAAAATTTTTTGAGGGTAAAACAAAGTCATCCGTCGAATTTCCTTCCTTCCTTCCTTCAAAAATCAAATCCAAAATGAGAGCAAAAGTGTATATAATTCCAAAATCTTGATCTATCCTTATTTAAATCCTAATATTCCATCTTTTTTCTAGGAAGTAAAATGTTATTGGTAGGTCAATTCCTGGTGGATGGGGACTTTTTTGAATAAACCGCTTTATGACTTTCATATGTAGACATCATGAAAAGATATAAATTTAGATTCTAATATTGATACATTCATAAATGGAATTTCATTTTGAGTACTACTGTTTTTTTTTTCAGAGATTTAACATTATACTACACTTTTGGTCTTTCTCAGCTGAGTATTAACACACACAAATGATTTTCACATTGATAGCTATAATTTTTCTGCGTGGCATTTAAATTAATACACGCCATCCAAATAAAACACATGAATTTATCTTTTAAGCAACAGTAAATATTGACAAACATCAAGACTTCACATACTCTGCTCTTTATAAACAAGTATGGTTTTAGTAGTTTAAAAACACAGCCAGCTATAGTTATAATTATAGTGTTCTTATGATTGGTTAACATTTCATTTTTATCTAAGATATAAAGATGGCACATGAATTCTCCAAAACATAAATACCTATTAAATATTATTAACTTTCTACTGAGAAATGGTTATATTTGCACTTTGCCACATGGGGTTCTCTATTAATGGAAACTCTTGTATATCCATTTATATCTTCAACCTAATACCCAGGCAACATAGGTTTCAGTGTCAGGGAATCAGGGTCAAATTATATTAGATTTTAGGAACCAGGTCAGACGTTTTGATCTCTAATAGCGTATTTCCTTTTAGATAAAACGAGAGAAACTCAAACATCAGTTCCCTAATTAGAATTGTGATGTTGACAAATGTTGTCCAGTGTTGACATTTGGTGGCTAATGTCTCTAATCTTGTTATCTGGTGCGCACAGTATTACCTGTTATCAATAATAGTAATTTACTTGAGTCCATTTTAAGGAACTCCCAAATGCTCATATTCTATTACCCTGCCAGCATCATCTGTAATTTTTAAAAAAACTTTTACTCTTTGACTTTGGTGTTGCTAAACATTGTTTAGCTCATCTCAAGAGAATGCCTACAATCATTTTCCTCTTCAAGGGATCATATACTGTTTTGAAATCTAGGAATAGATCTCTAAAAAAATGGTAGAGCTTTTGTCAGCCTGTGCAAATAAACACACTAATAAATGTACAAATGGAGCCTATAAAATATAACTGATTTTCCCCAGTGTTCATCATTTCCATATGTAAAATTAGGTGCTTAAAGAACAGCACTAACCCTTTGAAGGTTGTTCAGGTACCAGTCTATAGCAATAACTAGATTTTCATAGTGAGGCAGGGCTTTCCTAAGCACCAAATCTGCTACCAGGGAGTATAACACCATTTAATGGGGAACATTTGATCCCATATTAATGTATAGAAAACAGAACAGTCATGGAAAGGTGTGGTTTTCAATTGTTTTAATTTGTGATTTATTTAAATATTAACAGTATGAATAAAATGCCTTTATGTGTGTAAGCTATTTACAGTTATGCCATGTACACATTTTTACGTGTAGAAAATGAAAATACTCATTGATTAGCCCTTTTGAGGCTTTTGAATAACTGTTTCATTTTCCTGCTTTCCTGTAACTCTTTGAGGATTTAGGTTAATTCATACAAGGTATGTACACAATCACACCCATAGTATGTACATCCTAGTCACACACTTAACATGGAGAGGATGTGTGAGGAATGTAAATCATCCCGGTGGTCAAAGAACTGACCTTACCTGTGACTAATGGCATGGTCAATTAACTCGGCATATTTAGTAACATGCCAGTGTATTGCCAATGTATTCAGCCTTTGTGATAATTATGTTACCTACTCTCAGAAATGATAAAAAAAAATACACACACACAAAACAGCCCTTTCTGACCTTCAAAAATGAAAGGACAAATTCTGTTACTGAATACATACACACTCTTCTGTTGACTTTATTCATTTTCATACATGTGCCTACCTGATGACAGAACTTGGTTTTGAAATGGGACACGGCATGTTATATTTTTGCTACACATAAAAAGAGAAAACCAACCACTCACAGACTATACACACTTACAAAATATATTGACATACCACAACCAGCTACAGTATTATGCACAACGTATTGTTCACACACTAGTACAGCAGAGATAAATACATTTAGGAATTTAGTAATTTATTAGTGTATTTCTTTCTTGAGGTTTCTGGCCCTGTTGACCTTTCTCAGCCTCAGGAAAGCTGTCTCCAGATGTCCTTAAAACAAAAATTAGTCTCTCCTCTCTCTCTAGGGATTGAGGAGCATGTATAATACTGCAATCTTCTGATTTACCAACATCATTTTAAGATGTGATGGAAAACATTATGCAAAATAATCCACTCAAAGATGTGGCCTAAAATAAGCGTTAAAGAATCTCAGCTAAAATCATTAAGAGATCCTGATAAATGTGAGTAAGCTCCTTCTACCCATTCAACATAGTTTGCTGTGTACAGTCTTTACGTGTTATTAAAGCAATGATATAAAACAGAAGTTTATCCACTTAAAAGTTTTGCTAAAGAATGGACCATCTAATTTTTTAAAGTAACAAAGATTAATGCTAGCAGTAATGTTAAAAAGCAAGCCATCATTTTCACCCTGCAAATCAGTGGATGACATCCTTGCAATATAAGAGACCAAGAAAGAAGTTAGAGTTTCTCTCCCATTTATTTCTCCTTAACACACTTAAATCACTAGGGTATTTCTCATCATAATTCTCATCATGCTTGGTGGTCATTAGTATCATTTTCTAAAATGCAAAAAATATGACTTATTTTTTTGCAGCCAATTGATTTTGATCTTGAACTGAAAATATACTCAATGAAGGGCTATTATTTAGCAACGCCCATCTGGAATATCATTTTCTGTAAGGCATTATTTGAGGCCCTTTTTGATATGAGTACTCATGTTTTAATTATTTTACATTTGGGAACACATTTTTTTTCCAAGCTAAGGATGGTAATCCTCTAGGCAGAATTAACTGAATTGCTTTCCTACATGCAAGTGTCCAGGAAGAGTAACTACCATATATTTAACCCCTCTGTTTCAACAAAGTTTCTGGTTAGATCTATCGCGAAGTTTAAACTAGCAAGACATTTTGACTCCTTTTTCGTCTTGGCTAGCATTAAGACAGAGATGTTAACCATATCTCTACTAAAGTTCACCAGGGCTGTATCTCTTTATAGAGCTCCTAGACACATTTTTCTAGCAAGAAAGCAGAAATTATGCCTTTGCTTATTTTTCCTGTGGGTTACAGTCAGTCTTCATGGACAAACCATATTACATAATGGTGTGCCCTTATAGATGCACTTGCTGGTGTAACTGCCTCTTTTTGGCACATTATTGCTTGGCTTTAATTTAATTTTCAACAGTCTTTATTCTCACAATGAGTATCTGAGATATCTGGTCTTAAAAAAATACCAAACTTGTGAATGACATCTTGTTGCACCATTCTGGCCTCCACAGTTGTTTCACCAAGGCTCGTGGTTATTTAAATGTTCTTTATAATTATCATCACCTTACTTTAACTAATAGCATAATTTTTCAAGATTTTTTTGTTGTTTCTATCTACACATATGTACAGATGTATTGGATTTACTTTGAGAGGTTATTTGGTTGTGGCAAGTGAGTAGTTTAGCTGGTGAGTGTTCACAGTTAAAAGTAGCTGTAATGACCTCTGGCAGATGTCACTGATTACTTGTGAGACAGAATTTTTCCACCTCAATCCATCTTCATTTATGTCCTTGGTCATCGCAAATAAAGTTTATCTCATTTCTGCAGCCAAGGAGAATTTTTTTTTCCAAGAGCAGGATAAATTTCATGGAAATGTTTCAGTATTTACAATACTATTTTTTCCCCTTTTGCAAAAATGTCTAAAATTTTGTAGACATCCTTAAGCCCATGTGTCTGCAAAGATGGCATTTATAATTACTCATCCAGTTGCAGAATTCCGTTAACAAGGGTATAGTTACAAGAATGAACAGGAGATTTAGCGTATCACCTGTTATTTGCCAGGTGGCAGCAGTCGACCCACATTTGGAGAGATTCAACCAAAAGGGCCCCACACAGCATCAAAGAACATTGCTAACAGAAAACAAAATGCTCGGATATCAATATAAAATAGCAAACACTGAAGCAGGCATGGACAAGGCTTCTGATTCGCTGTGTAGACAAAGCAGGGGTGGGGGGACAAGACGGACAGCTCATTTACCCAAGATACTACAGAGTTCACTGTGTTATCACCACAAAGAGAAATTCACAGGCCTCATTTCTCAAATACCATTTAGGACAAAGCAGGGGAGAGCAAACAGCGTCATCTCCATGGCAGCATCGTAGATGATTAGTGAATCAGGCAGCGAGAGGCCTACGCAAGGCTACAAGTGCCCAATTTTCAGTAAAAACACATATACATATATGCAAACCTTATCCTAATGTATTGTTTTTCTTTATACTGATTCTTAAAAAGTAGACCAGAGATGTAGTGAATTATATGGTACTAGAAATGGACAACTTTTTTAACACTTGCACAATATGTAGGAGGAATAGAAGATAATTTCTCATATTTTGGCAGCAAAATGGTAACAGTGGATACAGCAAAGGCCAAACAATTTACATTAACAGCATACTCATATATATCCTCTGTAAACAAAGTTTAAAGTCACGTTATATTATATTCTTCATGGGGTATATACAAGTATTCCCAGAATGATGGGAACTCCTAGAAATGAGAGAAATAACATTAGAATTAGCCAGAAACAGTAAAACCTCGATACTCTGGGATGCAACCAAAAGTCATTTCCTTCTTCTGTTTTCTACTTGAAAAGGACAAGCTCTTATTAAGGATTTGGTCCCAAAATTCAACCTCTAGGGTATATCTTACACATGCATATTCACTACAATTTGTTTAAATTTTGATATGTAACCTATAACATGAAGAATACCGGTATCCAAAGTACCAATTATCAGACAATTCTAAACATTAAGAAATCATAAAAATTCAAATTATATTCAGCATAGCTGAACTTGTCAAGATAGGAAAACATACTAATATATTTTATAAATATTTCATTTTGGATGCAAACAAAAAGGTTTCTCTGACCTAACAGAATGTTCAACTTACGCTGCTGGTCTAAAACTTAAATGTAGAGCAGTTGGTCTATGGCATCAAAGCCAATAATCCAGAAAGACATAATTAGAAAAGCACTGAAGATAAACATATGACAGCTCAAGCGATGACATTCTTCTTATGGTCATTAAAATAGAAAAAAATCAACAATTTAAATTAGAAATTCTACTATTCACTGGGTAAGCCATATAGCCTCTTAACATTTTAAATATTTCATTATCTTCCAGACACTGTGTTCTAATTCATCTCTCTTATAGTATTCGTTTGAAAAATATTTTCTATTTCCTCCATTTATCTCAATGACTAAAAAGCATTTAAAAGGAACAGGAACATCTAAAAGAAATGAAGGCCCCAAACAACTTTCAAACTAGTATGTTGTGCAGCAGGGCTAGGAAATAGCCCAACGAATTCAAAGAATCTGCTACAAAGACTGTTTTCTACTTTCATTTTGTTGAACAAACCTAAGGAGTCACGAGTGATGTGCTGAATGTAAATGCTCTGTCACAGATCAAAGTGAAGGAAAGTTTTCAAATTAAGGTTTTTATGGTGTGAGCACTTGGAGTGTCATAAAGCAAAAGCACAGCTTGACTTCAGGAGGCTTCGTTATTTACCCACTCGGTGATCTATTTCATTACTGTTTTGAAAAGCTGTTCCTTCTTTAAGATTCAATACACAAAGAAGCAAGAAAAGTTTTGTACATTTTTGTGACAATCTCTAGAATGTGGTAGAAGTAAAGGTAAAAAATGAAATAATTAAAGATCAAGAAGGAAAGGCTAGTTCCAGTACCAAAGAAAACCAGTCAAGTTTACTAAATCAGATCTTAAGTTTGACTTTGAGAGGCACAACTGCAACCCTATATTTCGTTTTAAGTAACTTAATGTACTTTTCTTCATCTGTTTATTTAATGTGAGACAAAGTTCTACAACTCTCTTAGGCCTCTGCCTCATTTTTAACTTGAACTATTTACAATTTATAAACTTAAATTTGTAATTTATAAATGTAAATTATAAATTTATAACTTAAGGATTTATAATTCACGTGATTACCCCAAACTCATAAGAATAAATATTACTACCAGATGCTAAATTCTTCCTTTCCTCCTATTTTAATGCAGGAACAGCCTGTTCTGGCCACTTCACAGCAGAGGATTACCTGGGGCCCACCCATCTGGAGCGGGTACTGCTGACAGCTGCTACTGTGTACACAGGGTATTCTCTGTGTGTACACAGCATGTATGCCAACGTGCGAGGGAGACAGGCAGTGAGGAAGGGGTGGGAGTGACATGACATCCTGGCAAAGCACAGAAGCCACATGAATGAACACTACTACAGACGGGTATTTGAGGCCAGAGAGAGTTTTAGACTAAATCTCTGATCGTTGATAGTAATTTGGTTGGTAATTTCATGGTAATTTCTACTTTAGGTAGTATTTTTAATAGAGGCCAATTGGTAAGAAATGGAAAAGCGTGCCATATTTAAAAATTCATTCTAAGTTCCAAGTGTAACCACTGCGATTTTACCATTCTTAGGCTCTAAGAGCGCTGTGACTGTAATCTATGCAGTCTTCATATACGGTCCTTTTGCTTTTAAAGAAATCAATGGCTATTTACTAATTTAGGTTCTGCCCAGTTTAGCATGTGGTGTTAAAGTTCAGGTACAAAAGATTTTTCCCTATATGCTCAGATTCTGCAAAAGAGAATATATATTTAAAAAAAAAAAAAGCCAAAATAGAGATTGTGAGTTGACCTCACAAATGCCATTTATGCGTCACCAGAGAATACATGGCCAGACACTCTTTTCTGGTTCATCAAGGGGAGCAAGCTCAGAGAAGGCTACCAGAGAGCATCCCTCTCACGTTTAACAATTTGATTTTCTAAATGCAAGGCGCAGATGAAGGATCTCCCTACGATGAATCTAGGAGGGGAACCTTTTCCAGGGCTCCATCCCATCTCCCTCTTCCACACTCTCCAACTCTCAGGACCTGATCATCCCAGCCCAGTGCCCTGCAAGACACTAGGGTACAAATGGAAACTCCTCTTCTCAAGGCAAGTGAGGGCCGAACTCAAACAGGTGCCTCTGGTCTCAAAAATTACAGCCCGCTCGAAGCTCAAACCATGTTTTAGTAAGGGCCTCTATTTCTACTGGGTTTGAATGATAAGATACAATGGTATTTCTCTTAAAATCAATAAGTTCACAGAGGTTAACTTTTTACTACAGATGAGAAACTTAAGCAACTAGATGATATGAGTCTACCTACAAAAACATGAGGAAGCTTATGTTCTGTTTGCTGTTCACTACATTTTCCATTAGAAGCTACTGCGCAAGCAAAGCAAGTCAAAAGGAAAACACAAACTGCACCCTGTTTATAGGAGCTGAAATTAAACCCACTGCTTTTGTTACTTCCTTTTTTCAACACAGAAAAGAGAGTGATTGGCTGTTTATAATTCCTTACTGAAACCTTAACATTCTCAGCAAAATGTTTCTGGAGAACGCTTGCACGACACAAACTTTAGTATTATTAATAATTTGATGACCCCCCTTTCAAGAATTCAGTTGCATGTATTTCCTCTAAAGAAACAGGAATTTAATCTCATCAGAATCATAGAGATGTCCCTTTGCCTTCAGTGCAGGAAAATATATAGATATAAATTCAAGTTTTATGTGGGCAGTATTTATATTCGAAAGCTCAGCTAATTTTCCTAACACAACTTTCTTACATTTATTGACAGTATAACAAGGTTTACCAAAACAGTTATCGCAGATGTTGACAAGTATTAATTCATTTGGTATTGTGTGCATTTAAATGCTTTTCCTTAATGTCATCTGACTGAAGAGTCAATTTGTTTCACAGTTTTACATTACAGTTCTTACCATTTACTTAAATTTTATGTGGTGATAGCATTCTTATAGCAATATGACTAAAAAGTATAACAGTGTTTTTGCTAGTTTTAATATTAAGCAGGGATTTTAATGGAAACACCACATTGTGTGATAAATTGAGGCAGTAATACAAAATTAGACGTATTTAATGATAGTGCTAGTTCTATAAGTAACATCATATTAAAAAATCCAGTGAATATTATTTCCTCTTAATTAGGGTCATTAACCTTCAGTGGAGCTTTCTTCTTTTCTCTTGTTCTTTCTTTCAAATTGAAATGATATTTTTTATTTATGGACACCGAATCAAAAGACCCAGAAACTCTTAACAGCAACTTCCAATAGTTAATTCTTGCTCGTCTTCCTGTTTCTCCAAAAAAAAAAACAAAAAAAAAACCAAACAAAAACCAAAACTAAAACAAACAAAAACCTAAGCAAGCTTTGACATACACAGACACTTAGGAATACCGTAAATATACACAAGGGCTCCCATACATGCTCCTTTCAGTCTAGCACAGAAGAAGGGGCAGGACGAACACAGCAGTTGGGGCGCCGAAAGTTCTGCAGCATGGACTGTAAAACACTGTGCTGCCTTCCTTTGAGCTTTTTATTTGAGGAAGTATCTGAGGAAATGGATCTCCGGGTCTGGCTGTTTTGAGCTTTGATTAATTTCTCATGTTCCCTGATTTGTCTTTGCAGATGGTTCTGGATTGCGATACCCAGGGACTCCGGGTCCAGGGAGGCACCGTACACTTCCCAGGTCATGCCCTGTTCATCCCACACAACGTCCCTGACACGCTTTGACTGTTTCAACTGCAGCTTGGAGTCGGCGCCCAGCTGCTTTTTCTTCTCTCCTGGGGTGAGTCCCACCTGGGCGGCAGCCGCTGTCACATTTAGCTTCTGCTCCTTGAGGAACTCGCTGACGCGGCTGGCCCGCCGTGGGCTGGCTTTGGCCAAGCGAGAAGGGGTCCTCTTGCCTGAACCTGGACTGGAGTCCCCCATGGAATCGGAAGGCAGGCTCAGGCTGGTGGCTGTCTTGGTCTGTCTGTTCTCCTCCAGGGTGCCCTCCTGGTCCTTCCTCACTGGGGAGGGTGTAGAGCTGGCAGCGGACCCAGTGCCTCCGCTCTCTTGAGATTTAGGATTGAGCAGCAGGGTTTTGCCCTCTGGCCTTGCTCTGGCATCAAGGATATCAGTGCCCCTACCTTCTTGTTTTACTGTCTCAGGAGATACAGGCTTCTTCTCTTTTGCATCTCCTTTAGCCGTGGGACCCGGGCTTCCGGACTGGTCTGCTTTGCTGGCAGGACCACAAGAGTCAGAGAGTTGGCAATCTGCGTTTGTTTTGTGACCGTCTGTGGTTTTCACTGCAAACTCTGATGGCTTGCCTTCAGCTTTCCTCACTTCATGATTTGTTTCAGTTTGACTTCCTGCACTGCTAGAAGTCTGGTCAGTGGGGCTGGCTCTCAGGGATCTGGAATTCACACCGGAAAGCTGTACAGAGGGGGGCTCTTCCCTTGCTGGGGTCATTCCCATGGACCTCGTATCTTCCTTCCACAGATCCTGAGCATTTCCGGATGCCACGGTGATCGATGAGATCTTAAGGACCTCACCTGGTAGGCTCACCAATTTGCATTGCCCTTGGAGAGCTGTGGAAACAGCAGCCGCTGCCTGGATGCGCACATCTGGCATGATGCCAGGGCACAGACCGGACTCCCGGGGGGAGTGGATGTTGTCAGATAGCTCCAAAGTGTGGCTCCCACTGCCACTGCCATGGCAGATGACACGCAGCTGCTCTTGTGGCTCCAAACGCTCAGGAATGGGGGTTTCCTTTAAGAACGCGGCGAGGATGCTGGGGCTGGTGGAGACAGATCTGCTCTCCACACTTGCCACTGCCTGCACCCCAGCGTCTTGCAGGGCCTTGCCGGGAGCTTCCATGACCTCACCTGCAGCTTGGTGGGTCATTGTACTTGCTTCTTTGAACCTCGACACCTGATCTGAAGGACACGTGGAGACTTTGCTAGTGAGGTGGGGTGATTGAGGTGTCATAGAAGTCACGGCTTGGTTGTCTGAGGTGGTGGCCGAGGGCTTTTTGTTCCCTGAACATCCATCTTCTCTGGCAGCAGAGTCACAGGACCTTGTGTGGGAGTCACATATGGCTCCCAGCCTTCCCCCTTCAGGTTGGCCTATAGGAGACGAGGCGTTACTGCACACGTCGGCTGCTGTATTTGCAGTCTGCAGCACTCCCTGCATTGTTTCTTGAGAAGGAAAACCACAGGGCACTTGGTCTTTGCTGTTGCCCAGGGTGCTTCCCACAGCGCAATTTGACTTTTCAGGTTTTTCAAGAACGTCCCCATCCGAGGCTCTCTGTGTTTTCAGCCGGGTATCTTCAGGTCCTGACAAGGGGCTGGCATTGGGCTGGTCACTTGGGGTGGCCTGGTGGGTGTGCTGATTGGCTGGCATTGTAAATGCTTCGTCTGTGAGATCCTTTCCTGCTGCAGAACACGGGGCTGGCGCTGTGGGCTCGCTGCTTCCTGGCAGCTGGGTAGTCTCAGGAGAACTGAATGTAGGAGACACTTTTTCCACCTCATTGAAGACCCCAGGAGAAGACATGTCTGGCTGGGTGGTCTCATGCTCCAAGGCCTGCATCAGGACCTCAGCAGCTGCCCTGGGGCTGAGGTCTGGCTCTGCAGGAGCGCTGGAAAGGCCATTGGTGTTCTTACACAAGAGGGCTGCTGGAGGCCGAGGGGAGGCAGGCTGCACTTCTCCTAGATCCTCTTCTTTTCCAGAAGCTGCGATCAAGGAAGTTATAGCTGATCTCAAAGGGTCAGGTACAGTCCCCATGGAATTTTTCTTCAGGAAAACCTCAGAGCTCTCCCTGGAACAGTGTCCCACCTGGGAAGCAGTCTTAGCTCAGAGTGGAGATGCAGTCAGGGATGATTCCTCTGAGGGATCAATCTGTGGATCAAGGAAACATTATCATTAATTTGGTACAGCAGTTAGGGGTTGAAAACACACCAACTGGCATTTGTACAAGATCTTATAAGCTCATTAAACCTTTTCCTCTCGTATGCATTGATATAAAAAATAGATCTTTTTTTATAAACAGGAAGAAAGATTTTCAAAAAACAGTCTTAATTACACAAGTATTATTTGGTACATTAGTTTCTGCGTGCATCCCATTTCTGTCTAGCAAATAGGTTTTTAATATATTTACCTAAGCATTTGATAACTACCCAAAAGTCATTTGTGTAGTCTGATTTTCCAGATATCCGAAAATCCTATAAAGCTACTGTAATCAAATCATTAAGTATTGAAATAGGCCTAAACAGATAATGTGAAATAGAATATCTGGAAATAGATCCACATATAAATGAGGATTTAATATATGACAAGAGAGGCATTTCAATTTAGTGGCAAAATGATGGATTATTTAATATACGAAGCTAGCAAACTGTTTATGCATCTGGAAGAATATAAAGCTAGATCTTTATCTTATACCAACTCTAAAAATAAATAATAGATGGATTTAGATAGATTAAAAGTTAAAATGTAAAATAAGTAATTAAATAAGTAAAATCCTGTAAGAAAATGTAGGACCCATAAATATAATCCAGGGGCAGAGAGGGTAGGCTTCTTTTGGCCAGGGAGAAAATACAGAAACTAAGAAACACCATAAACATAAGTGATTGAATAAAACCCAAAAGTTTTGTATGGCAAAAGATACCATACACAAATACAATAGATTTGAAAAACAAGTGTTTAAAATCCTAGAGGACAGGCAAAAATATCTGTGATATAGCAGAAGCTCTTAAATATTTACAGGGAAAGAAAATAGTTCTTTGGAAAAATGGACACAGAACATGAAAATGCAGCCCACGACATAGGAAACATGACAGTCAAAAAGCTTTTGGAAAAATGATCAAATTCATCTGTAGTCAAAGAAAGTGCAAATAAAGTAACAACCAGATTTTACTTTCCATCACTTGCACCTGCAAAGACTTTTTAAAAAAGAGCTGTAACATTATGGCCTGGAGAGACCTAGTAAAAGGAAGCATTTTTATTAATTGTAGGTACATATTGTGTATTTTGCTACAGCTTTCTTAGGGAAGCAGTTTAGCTTTTAAAGCTAAAAAGACACATGTCCTCGACTCAGTGATCCCAACTCTATCAACAGAAAGAAAATACCAGCATATATAGATAGAGATACAAGTATGTTTACTCAAGTACTATTTGTAGGGGCAGAAAAAACTGGACACAAACCGATTTCCGTGAATAGTGGGAGTAGAATAGATCAGGACAAATCTCTACTGTAGAGCGTTATGCAACCATTAAAATAAACGGTTAATTGGGCTGAAACTTTCACTTGGGAGGGATTTCCCCAAGGTATGGCTGAGTGAGAAAAGCAAGGTAAAGAAAAGAATATGTACATTTTCCTTGTTGTAAAACAGTGACCTAAAACACACTCTGACTTAAACACACACTGACCTACAGCAGACTGTGTATGTGTAAAGACATGTTTGTATGTGATTATATAAATTCTAAAAATATTTAGAATGAGGCATATTAGGTCTTAAAAACTTTTTTTTAACATTTATTTATTTTTGAGAGACTGAGAGACAGAGCATGAGCAGGAGAGGGCAGAGAGAGAAGGAGACACACAATCCGAAGCAGGCTCCAGGCTCTGAGCTGTCATCCCAGAGCCTGACGTGGGGTTTGAACTCACAAACTACGAGATCATGACCTAAGCTGAAGTTGGCCACTTAACGAATTGAGCCGTCCAGGTGCCCCAAGTCTTAAATGGAGGGAGTGTGAGGAGTAGAAGACAGAAAAAGAGAGATGGAGGTACTGAAAGGTGAGAAAAAACTGAATTTTTAAAATCTGAATTTTATTTATAGTTTTATTTGAGAGAGTCGGAGAGCATGAGGGAGAGGGGCAGATGGAGAGAAGAGAGAGAATGAGAATCTTAAGCAGGCTCCATGCTCCATGTGGAGCCTGACGTGGGGCTTGATCCTATGACCCTGGGATTATGACCTGAGCTGAAATCAAGAGCTGAATGTTCAACAGACTGAGCCACCCAGTTGCCCCTTCCCATCCTTGGTCTTAAATGCTTTTGGCTCATGCAAAGCCTTTCCCCAGGTGTATATTCCATTTCTTCCTTATTGGAGTTTTCTGTTGCAATCACTTACTGGGCACCAAGCCCATATTCCCATCTGCCCCTTTCTCATCTGCCTTTATTATGCCTTTCCTTCCACTGTCTGCCCTCCTCATCCCCAAAAAGCCTACCCATCTTTTTTTTTTTTTTAAATTTTTTTAATGTTTTATTTCTAGGAGAGAGAGAGAGAGAGACAGCATGAGCAGGGGAGGGTCAGAGAGAGAGGGAGTCACAGACTGAAACAGGCTCCAGTCTCTGAGCTGGCAGTCAGCACAGAGCCCGACTCGGGGCTCGAACCCACGAACCGCGGGATCAGGACCTAAGCGTAAGTCGGACGCTTAACCGACTAAACCACCCAGGGCCCCAAGACTACCCATCTTTCAAGGCTCCACTTAAATCTCATTTCCTTTCTGAAGGCCTCTAAAGCTTTCAAGCCATAATGTCTTCCTCTCCTTTAAAAAATCATACAGCTGTGGTCATCTGGGTCCTTCCTATGTGCTGTTCTTGTAATTTTGTTACTTATATAAATGTCTTATTTCTCCAAAAGTACTTCAAGTTCCAGGAGGGAAGGGGACAAGCTTATTGATTCTTTCCACTCCACAGGAGACAGTGCAAAGTCTTGTGCATAAAAAGGTGTTAATTGAGCCCAATTTCCCTCCCAAATGGCTATTATTAAGGCCTTGCCAAACTTCAAAATAGTAGCAAATTTTAACCCATGAAATATTAATCAAAACACAATGTAAAGGAGTGCTATTTTTGAAAGTAAGAAAAAAATGGTTGTATCTTATTCATGAAATTTTATCTGTAACTCAGTGTTAGACAATTAAAAACAAGTATATTGGACACCTGCTACAAAAGCTGGAAGCTTTCATAAAGCCAGGAATATAGAACATCTCTTGTGTTATATAGCTGGAGCTGAGAAACTTGGAGGGCTGTGAAATATAAGCAGCTCAAAGTTCAGCAACTGAAGCTGAAAGACTTAGAAAAAGATGACATTTCATAAAGCTCTGAGAATTCACTTCATTTACTTTCATTTTCCACAGGTATCTAGCTGATTATAGTAGTTTAACTTAGAAAAGGTGTTTCCTTTTGTTTACTTTGTTAATAGAGGCAAAATTATCTATAGATTCAGGAATAAAGGAGAAAGGGGCACTGGGGAGGCTTAGTAAGTTGAGAGTCTGATTCTTGATTTCACCTCAGGTCATGATCTCCAGGTTCCTCAGATCGGCTCTGTGCTGACAGCTTGGAGACTGCTTGTGGTTCTCTCTCCCTTTTTCCCTCCCCTGTTTGTATTTTTTTTCTCTCTCCCTCTCAAAATAAATAAACTTAAAAAAAGGAATCAAGAAGAAAAACCAGATTCGTAGCTCATACCTGTGATCTGAAAACTCTTGACTCATGGATAGATAGGAAATCAAGACTTTCTCAGTCATGTCTGCTAAAATAATTGTCACAGCATCTCCATGTACCTAGGAACATTTTCCCCTCCCCGCTCCAACTAGAAGCAGAAATCTATAGTCTCCAATAGGTTAGACAAACAGGGTATTTTAAAAGTGTACTTACTTTGTGGTTTAGAGTAGGGAATATATATCTTTAAAATCAAGCTGAGTCCACTATGATAAGATTTAATAACCTCTAAAAAGGAAATTGCTAACAGGTAGTCCACAGACTGAATGAATCTCTGCAGGGGTGTGTGTGTGTGTGTGTGTGTGTGTGTGAGAGAGAGAGAGAGAGAGAGAGAGAGAGAGACAGACAGACAGAGAGACAAACTGCACAGTTTCCCCTTCTCTTCTCTCCCTTTCTTCCCCTTCCTCTCTTTCCTCCTTCCTTTTCCTTTCTTTTTTTGTTTTATAAATTGAAGAGACCTTTCATAAAAAGCCAGATTTCCCTCTTTTTGCTAATCTTTAAAAACTCAGAAGGTATGCATTTCTAGGAAGCAATCACTAGATGGTGATGGTGAGGGCTGCCTACCTTGATGAGCATGGCCTTTCCAGGTGGCCCATCCCCCACCTACCTTGCTTTCCTGGTTTATATTACTTGCCTGCGCAGCCATATTTGAGAACTTTGGTTTAAAAATACTAACAGAGTAGACTTCCCAACCTAATTTTTAGTCCTTTAAGGGCAGTTGGGCTTATCTTTAAGAATGTGAACCCTGGGGTCAGAATTCCTGGATTAGAGTATCAGTTCCACTAGCTAACTGTAGCTCTGTGTGCTTGGGCAAGTTAACTTAACTGCTCAAGGAACCCATTTAATCTATAAATTGGAGAAAATAATAATCATGGTACTGCCTCACTGGGATGTTGTGAGGGATACATTTAACATTTAGAACAAACAGCATCTTGGCACATATGAAACATCTTATGAGGATTAGCTTCTTTTCAAAACCTTGATGTTTAGCGGGGCATAAGTGGATGCAAAATTACTAAGAGAAGAAATCAAAGATACAGGGACACGTGCTGAATGCCGGCCAATTGATCAGATACCAACTAGGGGATGGTGGGACGGTGAGAAATTTGATCTGTTATTGAGGATATCAGATATAAAGGGTGAGAGGATTCTCTCTAAACTGGCTTAGCAGGATTCTTGCTAAAACTGGACTCTACAAGAACAGCTAGAAGCCCAAGACCAAGGCCTAGTCAACAAGAGGGCTCAGAGGAGCCTAACTGAAGTTGGTCAAAGAGGGAATCTTTGTCACCTGCATTGGTGAATATCGATTTTCTTATGAGACTCTCGGTAGCAATAGGAATTCTTTCTGAATTGGCCATAAATTGGACAGGAGCTAATGGTATCTCTGATTTTTGTCTTT